TGGCGAAGCCGAGACGGAGTTGGACGGAGATGAAGCAGTCGAAGAAGCTACCACGGACGAAGATGTAGCACCAATCGGGATGTTCGGTGATGCAGAAACAATGGGAGATGACGCTGCAATATATGTGGCGCTTGTGGTCGGAGTGTCCGAAGGAATGTTCAAGTCGACGGTAGTGGCTGAGGCATAAGAGGGAGACGGGGATGTAGCAAGTGAAGTTTGTGTCACAGCAGGGACAGTAGATGACACAGTTCCGCTCAATCCCACACTCGTCGTTGGTGACGTGCTGGGTGCAGCCGTACCATTAGCTGTCACAGTAACAACCACAGTGGTCACAACGACTACAGTGGAAACATTGTTCGCGCCGGTGGTGGCAGCTGGTGCAGATGTCACAAGAGAGGTTGAGGAAGTGAGGAGGGTAGTTCCAGTCCCAGAGGATACGACGGGAGAGGCGGAGGGACTCAAAGCAACGCTACCAGCACCAATAGAAGTGCCAGAGCTAAAGGGAGTCGCAGGAGTAGAAGCAACAGAGGAACTCGTCAAAACACTCGTAGAAACAATGGATGCAGGACTACTGGCGGAGGAACTCGCTACGCTAGTGGGCAAGGCAGTGCTGGCCTGAGTAGATGAAGCAGTGACAGTAGTGGTCGGATTGCTAAAGCCAAAGGTTGGACCGTAAGTGGAGGAGCCATACTGACGCTTTTTCATCGTATTCATCGAGGAGCTGGCGAGGGTGGATGAAGTCTCAAGAGGTGAGGAATCACATGGGTCATACGTGCTCGAGATAGGAGTGCTTGTGAGAGATGGCAAGGCACTTGTGGAAGATGGTGAGGCACTTGTGGTGGTCTCTACACAGTCGCCACCGTCAGTGGTTGTGTTGCTCGCGGTAGCATTTCCAGTTACCCCTCCCTGAACGCCAGCAGCGATAAAACGTGCGTCAGCATCACTTTGTGTGTCACAAGCGAGACTGGTGCCAGCTTTGGTAACAAGAGGAAGTGCGAAGCACGACAGACCAGACGAGCAAGGCGTGAGGTCCCAGGAACTTCCAATACACTGTGCGAAGGCACCGCTAATGCATGCCTGAGCACCACCTGTGACGCGGTCACGATCAATAAATAAACGAAGGCAAAAAAATATATTGAACCTACTGGTGCAAGAATCATTGGCAGTCATTGTGGCAAACTGAGCATTCAGTTTTTGCGCATCGAGACCGTTTTGTTGCTGGGAAAAGCTCGACGTTGAATTAGATACGAGCTCGTAGTAAGATGCAAGAGGTGCCGCGCTGGCCAGGGAAGCTAGCATGGCAATTAAGAGGTTCTGAGAGAAACCCATGACCGTAGAAGATGATATGTTTGAGTGTAGGTGACTGTGAGATGCAACTAGCGTTAGAATGAACGTAGTAAGAAGAGCTCCTGGCTCTGATCTAGAAATTCGTTAGAATGACGGAAGAAGAGGCTGCAGTTACGAGTAGTGCGTACGAGATGGGGATTCAGGGCCATCTGCCTTGCCTTTATATACGAAAACGGCGGTTGTGGACGCATGGACACTCGCGCAGCAGCTTATTGTTTGAAGCATACATAGTCTATAGACTTTCATTGTGTTCGTAAAATAGATTCCATATTTTAAACTCAGCGATTATACTTAACCGTTGTTTGTTTAAATTTGGTTTATCTTTTGGGACAAATATATTTTATGACTCAGATCGGGATTATCCGTTTATCTTATTATCCTCATAGAAATTTTGAGAGATGCTGCGCCTGCTAACTCGTCCTCTTTATCTCTCCGCCACTCCTTCATCATCCCTGCGTTTCAAACAGGCTCTCGCACTCAGTTCAAGAAAAATGGCAACCTTCAACACTCCAGACTTTGTGCGTATCATATTCAATCAGTTATATGCCCTTACCAAGAAGCTGCGCTATTATTGTAGAACAAAGTCTTGTATGCACCTCTGGCAGAGATCGATCCTGAAGTGCAGAACATCATCGACAAGGAAACTTGGAGGCAGTTTTCCGGACTCGAACTTATCGCGTCTGAGGTGGATCTCACAGTTTGCTGTTATATATATCCTCATATTTTCTGAAACATTTCTTAGAACTTGACGAGTCGCGCAACTCTCGAGGCAAATGGCTCAATATTGACCAACAAGTACTCAGAGGGTCTTCCAAATGCCCGGTACTATGGTGGCAATGAACACATCGACGAGCTTGAGATTCTTTGCCGCAAGCGTGCCCTTGAAGCGTTCAACCTCGACCCTGCAAAATGGGGTGTGAACGTCCAGCCCTACTCTGGCTCTGTGAGTATCTCACTACAATCAGGCGCTCTGTAATCTTGACATTCAATGATTCTCATGCTAGACTGCCAAGTATGTCTGATATCGCTTATGTGTGATCATGTCTCACATTACGTGACCGATAGCTTTGCAGCTTTAACCGCTCTCCTTCAGCCCCAGGACCGCTTGATGGGTCTTGGTCTCCCAGATGGTGGACATCTCACGCACGGCTACTATGTGAGTTTCTTTTGCCACGTCAATGGTTAGCGGTTCTGAGATTCGATCAATTAGACTGCCAAAAAGAAGATGACCGCTTCCTCAATATACTTCCAGTCATTCCCTTATGCAATCGACCCCACAACACAACTTATCGACTATGCAGGTCTTGAGCGGCAAGCAAAAATCTTCAAGCCCAGATTAATCATCTGCGGTGCCTCCGCTTATCCCCGTGACTGGGATTACGCTGCTTTGAAGAAGACTGCAGATGCAGAGGGTGCATACCTCATGGCTGATATTGCACACACCAGTGGTCTTGTCGCAGCACAAACACTGAATGACCCTTTTGATTACTGTGACATCGTTACCACAACGACGTGAGGTTTCCGCTCACAACCGAGACTACTTTCACACTGACATATATCAGCCACAAGACCCTCCGCGGCCCTCGCGCTGGCCTAATCTTTTTCAAAAAAGACGGACCCAACAGCCAGGATCTTGAGAAGCGCGTTAACGACGCTGTTTTCCCTGCCTGTCAAGGTGGCCCCCACAATAACGTTGGCACCCTAATCTCCGGCTATGAAACACAAGCTGATAACAAAATTATACCAGACTATTGCCGCTGTCGCTACTGCCCTTCTACAGGTAGCCCAGCCTACATTCAAGGCCTACGCCAAACAGGTTATTGTCAATGCGCAGACACTTGCAGCTGCCCTTCATGAACACGGTTACAAACTGCAGACTGGTGGTACTGATAACCACCTTGTTCTGTGGGACCTCCGTCCCCTTGGTTTGACTGGTAGCAAAGTCGAGAAGGTGTGCGACCTATTGGGCATCACAATCAACAGTCAGATCTTTTTTCTGTATGAAAATGCAAGATACTGATTTTGGAATCCTGCAACAGAAAACGCAGTTTCTGGCGATGCATCTGCCCAGACTCCTGGTGGTATCCGTCTCGGCACATCGGCGCTGACGTCCCGTAATATGACCGAGGAGGACATCAAGGTTGTCGCTGAATTCTTGCACCGGGCTGTGCAGCTCTCGCTCTTCCTCCAAAAGGAGGCTGGCTCTAAGCTTCTCAAGGACTTCATCCGCGCCGCAACGGCGAAGGGCTCGGCAGGTGCCGCACAGGTGGATGATCTCCGCAGAGATGTCGTTTCATTCGCACGTCAATGGCCGCTTCCTGGCGCAGATGTCAGCACGCTCACGCGTCCGGCAGGTATTGAAGAGGGCTTTTAGGTATTGATGCGTGGAGTGTGTTCGAGTTTATCAGATGTTAAAACAGTCAACGGTTTCTTTATTGCATAGCGTGGGCATTCAACATCGTTCACATCAGGGTGGGCATTCAACATAGTCTACAACTGGCATTGTATCAATAGCTGCTGCATATTATGATTAATGTATTCGCAGTTAAATAGTCGTGGATGGTTTACCTTTAATGTGGTTCCGTGTCGAGACGTGGCTCCGTGCGGACACTGTGTACATTCACTGCAACCGGAGGTCGAGTGGGGTATGAATACCTGGAGTCCCAAACAATCTACCACGGCTGAATGTGCTAATGCTGGTCGACGGTCTCTTCTTTATGACCGATCTTTGGTTTTTAACTTATTTTATTATGTAAATGCCATGTACACCGGGTTTGACACAAATTTACCAATATCGTCAGAAAGAGTAAATATCCAAAATAACTTAGCCCTTATCTGACGCTTTTCGATGCGGTTCTGACTAAAGGCCTAATTAATAATTATTCACCTGTCCTAGCAGACGCACCTCGATCAGAGGATTTCCAAATTCTCTTTCATTCTCACCGGTAACTATTTTGCGTCAAAGTTCAATGTAAATAAATTCGAATGTATGCTCTCCGGATCCGCCAACGCTCTAGCTCGAGCTCACGTTGATGTTGATTTCTCTAGAATTATTTCCTTGTCCGCTACGCTACATATATATGCACGAATGTAATATTATGCTACCATCCTCATCAGTCATTCTGCGCGGACGACATGGAGTTCCTCATGACACTCGACGACGGGGGACATGTCGAGCAATTTGCTCTGAGTTGTTCAAAGTCAATGCTGGTGCACACCACAGTTTCGCTGTTGTGTGGTCCATCTATATTCTCGAAACCGCAAGCATCCGAAAATGTCATTTTGCACGACACGGCATGGTGGTGCGATCAACTGTCTAATTTCTGGAGGACGGCAAAGGAGAAGGCGATACTGTGAATGAGCTGCTGGAGGACGATCACTGTTCGACACCGAATGTGGCCATGACGGTCCTGGAAGACCGGAAAGGAACAGTACTGTTAGTGTGTGTTGTGTAAAAGGCTCACCGTAACACAGAAGCGATGGCTTTGTTACAATTCATGACCGTGACGGTAGTTAGTCGAATGCTGACTCAAAGCGGGACAGAAACAGGGGCTGGTGGAGATGGACACTGTAATAAATAGAACTGAAGAGCGCAAGATCTTTTGGCCCTACCGCTCGATCAGCACACATCTATCCAGATTGCTTAACTGTCTTAACCCATATTTGAGTTGTGCGAGGGAGTAACGCTTTGCATGCCTGTGATATTAATCCGAAAGATACAGGTTCGCCGACCATCGGATCAGCATCGCTATGCCATATAGTAAGTAGGAGAATTGTATAAACTTGAACTCTTGAGTGAAAGACATGGATTCATCCAAAGGTAGCCCATGCGCACCAGGCTCCTTAACTCCTCGATTCATTTACTTTATAACAGCTGACTGTTGCCTTCATCGACAAGCCCATATGAAGCGGTGCAGCCTGGGATGCCAAGGTTGTAAGGGTCATTCCCAGGTTGACATTTGGAGTTGATTCCCGCATACGGGAAACAGATATCGCTGGGGCCAGATACGAGTGCCCAATCCTAGCATTTCCAAAACCTAGGTGAGTGGGCATGCACTGCTGCGAGAGACAGTTACTTACATTCGCTGGAGCATATGAGCAGGTATTCCACGTTCCCGGATTTGCAACAGAGGGGTAATAGCAGCTGATAGTATCACCTGAGCACGTCCAGTAGTTAAGACATGCATCCCCTTGCTGAATACTGATATTTTCATAATCGCAATTAGGACAGGCTTCGCATTCTGCACTAACTCCAGTGCCGAGCGCGAGCAGCAAGGAAATGGCCAGTGTAAAATGAAGCATGGTTGCACTAGAATGTTAACTGTGAGATCTAGCAGCAAGGGGATTGCGCAACGAAAACGTACAGTGTAGTTGTTTCAGTTGCCTGGAAAATCTTTGGCTTGACAATCGCTCTTATATGCAAGTTGCTTCAGGCACGACTGGGGATGCGGTGAGATTCTATCAATCTCGTGTTTGGTGTTATATGGTCCGTGGTGTGGGTCTGTTCGAATGATATCAGTGCGATTACTTCCAGAGGTATCATACTTGCTCACCCATAAAGTTTTATCACACCGTTTTACATGCATTTCCGATGTCCACAAAGCAGATATCCAGTAACTACACAACTGGTACCGACAAGACCAGCCCACCGGTGGCCGCCAAATGAACGATGGCACCCACAAATTTCTGTCTCACCGTTTCGCATGCATTTCCAGTGTCCACAAAGCGGATATCCAGAAAATACACGACCAACAAGACCAGTCCGCCAGTGGTGGTTAACTTGAACATGGAATACAATTTAGAAATACTCACATGTACTAGTATTTGCAAGTCAAGTCACCGGAACAGTCATTTGCTCAAAGTGAGATCAAACTGTGACTCAGTCACTTCCTTTTCTAGGAAGGGGGAAGCAAGGGTCGTCCGACCTGCTCGCCCTCATCAAGTGAACGGTCCCTGGAGTTGGAGTCCGAGAGTTCGATGATCTCAGAAAGTGCGGGATTTGATCTGTCTGCGCAAGGTCTATGCAAACTGGATGCAGACTTGCGTCCTGTCAGTGTGTTTCTCGGATTCAGAAAGTGTCGGGAAGTCGCACGATGTCACTATTGCATCCCGCCCGACCTCAGGCCTCAGGCTCCATCCTGCCTGCCTGGCATCAGATATTTACCTCCTGATCCCTGTGAGTCTCTCATGCTTTCTTGCCTGTCTACTACTTCCCCCGTGTTTGCCTATTTCCTACTCACTTGCCAACACCATCATGTCGTTGTCTGCAGCTCCCGCCATGTCCTCCCTCCAAGGGACTAGAACCGCAACGACAAGCTGACAAGAATGACGATATTGGAATGACGGTGGTTGAAATAGATAGCGGGATGAGTGATGGTGGCTGGCGTAGACGGCAGGGTGGTTTCGATGATGCGGCAAGACAACAGACAGACCTTTGACCGCCCGGAACTTTAGACATGTCCCCCCAGACGTGTCCCCAGACTTTGGCGCGGAGTATGCGCAGACTTGCATAAGCTTCATACAGACTGGTCACTTCCTGCATGACCTTCAAGTTGTCCTCCCGGTCTTTTGATCTACCCAAAAGAAGCGATGGCAAGGAACGGAAGATGCCGAACCACACGCGGTGCCGGGCGGCTCTGCTACCCCACAATATTCGAGCGAGTGAAAATACGCACCATTGAATATCGGTGCAGATATCATCGTAAGCCACGGAAATTTGACGTGGGAGAACATGGCAAGCCGCGGTGGATGATGTGTTTGCTCACGCTAGACCACGACTCGTGGTATGTTCTCAAAACACGGGAAGACATGATACAATATCACTACGTAGATTGCGGTAGCAACAGAAGCAATACCATAGTGATGCATATAGTCTACGAGCGTGCAGAATGGTCCTGTAGCGTGCTCATACAATCATCAATGCAATAGTGCGCCATCCGAGTAATGTGCATAATGGTGGGTACTAGTATGAAAACAATGCAGGTGTGATAGCGAGAGAATGCAAGCGAAAGCAGATGTGACTCACAGTAACGACAAACGAGAAAATGAGAACGAGGGCGGATGAATTCTAGCATTTAGGTGCTAGCAGTGGCACCACTGGCTGCGAAACCTGTCACGCACGATGGACTCGACTCCAGTAAGCTCAGCAACAATCTGCTTGACTTGGTATAGAAACCTTGTCGGGGCTCAACGTTGAAACTAAAGTGCCGATTATAGTACATAACATGGGGAAGAGCATCGGAGACAACTGCACAGTTCAGGAGTTAGAGTTGGTGTGCTTGGTAGAGTACACAACACGAGCGCATAGCATGAGGAAAGACACAAAAAAACAGGAAGCTTGGCCCGAACATCATCTACTTCTTTTCTTTCATGTCCTTCGCTGTAGGCTTTTGGTAAACTTCCAGGTACACAACCAGAAGAGGGACGTACACAAGCGATTTTCAAGGATGAACTCAAGAACCTTCTTTCCCAGTTCCTCTCCGTGGTAGCCTTGACGACAAATCTCTTTCGCTCCTTTCTCCACTGCGACAGCTGTCGGAGATTTCAGGTAGTAGTCCACGGCAGACTGGACAAGCGTCGTGCCCTTCAACCCGTTCTGGAGAAATGCAGAGTACTCGAGGACGATAATGGTGGCTGTTTCCTGTCATTAAGACTACAACCGGTCGTGGTGAGAAACTAACCGATGCCAGTTTGAATTCTGTTCGCAGCAGAAGTGAACAGTAAAACATCCACAGTCTGTTACACGCTTGTATAGTGCTGGGAATCAATGCGGAGGGAAGCCAACCTACTAAGGGCCCGAGGACGTGGGTAATATCACGTCGGTAGAAGTCGGTCTGGCCACAAGTTGAAAGTAGTATGGGTATCAGAATCGACTCCACAGAGGAAAAAAGTACTTGCCCCCTGCAGTAAAGGAATGTCAGAATTATGAGGTGAAAAATTGGCATTTGATTCATAACAGAGACGCACATTCTATTTGGTGGACATGACAGTCGTGAATAATCAACCACCAGATTGTAGACAATGACTGCTATGCTCAGGTAACTTACAAACTGTGAGGGGTTGGAACCAGATGAGCATCACTATATATTGGCGAATACCATTCATGGACGTACGAGCTAGATAATATTGTCTGTTAGTGGAGTAATATGATATAAGACAGGATATGATCAACACACATTCTGCGAACACGTGATGAAGACGAGATTTATCTGGCTAAAATCACTGACGATTGAAATGCACTTACAACCTACAGCTCGACAAAGTCAGTGAAAATGATTGAGACATTGAAGAGTTCGCATTGTGAAGGTCAAACAGCTCACATTCTGCACAGGAGAAGAATGGATGAACATGGAAAATAAGTCATCAAGGGGAGATACTCGACGAACTAAGGATTACATGAGGAATGATGATTCGATTCATCTGTTGGAATAGAACGTGCTTACATTAGGCTATGAAAACGAGTGAACATCATTACACTATTGAGCATCATCTCAATACAAGATATGATCAAGACACACACCACCTGCCAAAAAACAGTAAGATGTGAAACGTGTCCGCATGAGTTGCAAACGGGAAACCATCAAGGCACTTACCCCCTGTCACCAGGTGAGGAACAGCGATTGTCAGGATGGGTTGAGAATGAGAGACCATCAAGGCACTTACGTCCTGTCAATAGGCGAGCAGCAGCAAGGGACGGGGATCATGAGTATTGGAGTTCAACGTCGACACTTACTAGATTTGTCTCGGACTCGTCATCTTACGTAATTCACCTTATAAGCTCGTGTTTCATGTTCGTTCATACCTCAGCAGTTCTTTCTCGGACGCTGAGGTATGTATCACGTTTCTCTTGCCCGCCGCCTTTGTCTTACCTTACTTCGTGTCTAGACCTCACCTTTTAGGTATTGTTAATGTCATAGCAGTTCTTTCTCGGATGCTGAGACCTCACCTTTTAGTTTCTACTCACAGGTTATGAGCCCTGGCTCTTACTGAGCCTTCAGACGAAACTATCAGATCGAACTTCCCTCACGCCCGCTCGCTGCTCGTATAATCTTGCTTTACCCTGTTGTCCTCTCACGATGGTATCGTCATGGGGAAGTACGACCACATTCCCGAACTGTTGGGGTCTGAAAACTACGTCGGATGGTCCACCAAGATGCAGTACGCACTCGCGTGCGAAGATCTCTGGTGTCACATCAATACGATAGTCGATCCTGCAGATCTCCTCGGGACACCGTCCACCTTACCTGTTCCTGTTAATCCAGCCAACATCACGGCTGCTGAAAGAACGGAAATGCGTGATTGGCTATTGAACGATATGAAGGCTAAAGACCTCATCACTCGTTGTCTCAGTCCATCTGTCGGCTCTCTCGTGTCACACTCGCACACAGTCTCAGCTCGCAAGGCGTGGCAAACGCTTGCGGAGCATTTTAATCGAACTGACACCAGTGCCCAGTATCAACTACGTCAACGGCTTGACGCACTTCGAATGAAGGACTCTGCGGACGCGACGAATTACGTCGGACAACACGCTGTTCTCCGTGAAAGGCTTAGCGATTCGGGTGCTGCTCTGAGAGAGAGTGACACCATTTACAGTCTACTTATTGGGCTACCTCATACACCCATATGGCAACAGTTCAAGTCAATGCTGGAACAGCGGATGCATGATGAGATCATGACAGCAGTGGCTGGCACAGCCTCCACGTTCACCATCAACAGCTGCGTCTCCCGGATCACTGCTGAAGCCGTGCGCCATGTACATGTAGGGATCTGCACGGGTACGGGTAACCCGCGCGGGTCACGGGTACGGGTACTACTGGGGTACGGGTACGGGTCGGGATTCTAAGACCCGCGCTCTTACCCGTACCCCAGCTATACCCGTGCCTTCCATAAATGGTAGCACCTCCTGCATCAGTAATAGCGGACGCCATACTTCCCGCGTGCACGCTACAACCGGCACCACCACCAACACCGGCACCTAACGCGCCTTCCCAAGTCCACCAACTCCACGTTCACAGCGCGCGCACCCGAAACGCGTCAACAAGTGTTGACGCGATGCAAACACACGCGGACGACACGCGAAGACGAAAGGACAAGAGAATCGAGGAAGGGAGAAGGGATGGTATAGAGATGAAGGAGGAAAGAGGAACTCGAGGAGACGAGACTTTGGGCACGCTGAAAGTGAGTACTCACATTGAAGACTCTACCCCCAGCAACAACGACGACGTCATACGCGTCACGTCGCCAGCGCCTATCTTTGTGCGCCCAGCACTCGCACCACCACCAGCTTTCACGCCAACGCCACCATCCACGACGCCAACGCCACCATCCACGATGCCGACGCCACCATCCTCGACCGTGCCTCCACTCCTCCTTCTTGTGCCATCCACATATGTTCGAGTCACGTCAGCATTCGCTGACGTGTGCTGGACATATGTGCTAAGCACTGGTGGTGATACCTATGGTACCCGCGGGTAAACCCTGCACGGGTGCGGGTACGGGTCTGAGCTTGTTGTACCCGCCGAAAACCCGTACCCGTCAGAGCGGGTACGGGTTTTTGCCGGGTGCGGGTGCGGGTCAGGTCCCCGACACCCCAGGGTATACCCGTGCGGATCCCTATGTACATGCGCGTGCCATTCATTCAGCACATCCCGGCTCTGAGTATGCAAATGTCACCACAGCATCTAATGCGAGCACGTCTAACGTTAACCCCATCACCGGACTCCGCAAACACAGACATAACCCTGAGGGAGTGTTTTGCACGACGCCCGGCTGCAACAAGGGCGACCACGATCACACGCATTGCTACGGGAAAGGTGGAGGTATGGAGGGTCAAGCACCATGGATGCGAAACAAGAAGAAGGACACTACTGTCGCCGCCGTAGTTACATCTGCGCCTCCTTCAACCACTCCCACATCCTCTACTCCTGCGATTGCAGCCGCTGTCATGCAGACCGATCTCACCAGCCTCTATGATGACGTTTCTTTCGCATCCATCACCGAAGTCGCGGATGATGTTTCCTGTGCGGTCTCGCTCCCATTCTCCACCATCCTCGACTCAGGGACTACAGTGACCTTAGTGAAGGATCGCCGCTTCTTCCACACCTACTCTACGGAAGATCCGGTTTCTGTCCACACTGCGAACTATGGGGTGTTAGAGACTACTGGCAGAGGGACGTGCATCGGGTGGATGACTATCGGAAAGCGCCGCCTTCGAGTAAAACTCTCCAACTGCCTTCACGCGCCGAATGCAATGCTCAACCTCCTTTCCGTTTCTTGCATGAACGCGAAAGGATGGGACGTAAACTTCAAGGCCAACATGACGTGTGAACTGGGACACCAGGGTAACATTCTCGGCTCCATCCCTGCTACGGGAAAACTCTATGCTGTTGACCTCGATTTCATTCCCCACACTGAGGCGCCCGTTGACTCATCTGTACCTGAGTTCTCAGCATTCGTCCAAGCTCCTCGTACATTCGATCTGTGGCATGCTCGCCTCGGTCACCTAGGCCGTAACGCTGTGACACGCTTGGACAAGGTAGCGAAAGGCGTGACGTTCGACTCGAGCTCCCCAATGTCGACGTGCGAATCTTGCATCATGGCAAAACATCCGCATCTCCCATTTCATGCCTCAGAGACCGAGCGCGCATCTAAATTCTTAGAACTGATTCACTCAGATGTGTGTGGACCCATCCCCGTTATCACGCCGCATTCCAAACACTACTTCATCATTTTTCTGGATGATCACACTCACGTTCTCAATGTTCAGCTCCTCGCCTCAAAGGATCAAGCGTTGAGCGCATGGACGACAGTACGAGCTAAGTGGGAGAATTTGTCCGGACTTCGAGTCAAAGTCTTCCGTTCGGACAATGGGGGTGAATTTATGAACGACACATTTACGACAGCACTGGAATCTGCAGGGATCGAGCGACAACGTTCTGCTCCGTACGCGCATCAACAGAACGGGAAAGCCGAGCGCGTCATGCGCACAATTGAGGGGCGCATGTACGCGATGTTGGATCACGCACGTCTCCCGAGAACACTGTGGGGAGAAGCCGCACTCACAGCAGCGTACCTGTTCAACAGATCGGAATCGCGTGCCTTACCACCAGGAAAGACACCTTATGAAATGCTCAATGGAATGCAACCGACGCTCGCTCACCTTCGCGTTTTTGGCGCCAGGTGTTTCGCACGAATTCCCACAGAACTTCAGGAGAAGCTTGGTCCCCGGTCACGCGAGGCCATCTTCATGGGCTACCCTCCAGGTGTCAAAGCCTGGCGCTGTAGAGATGCTGTCACGGGTGCTTTCTTTAACTCAAGAGACGTCATATTTGACGAGGCGTTCACTAATCGCCCCTTCCCAGACAGTGACGACGATGACGAGGACGATACTCCTGCAACTTCTCGCGCGCCTCCTCCCACGCCCATTCCCACTTCAGCGCCCCCTCCGACTGCTCCATCAGTCACACGCAGATCGTCTCGCATTCCTGTCCTGACCGAGAAGGGTCAGGTGTTCAAGAACCGCCTCGCCTCTGATCAGTCACGGCTCACGCGCCAACGCGAAATCCGCGCAGCAAAATCTCACGGAGTACCGCCTCCTCCTGTCACAGCCTCCCCCGACGCCACAGCACTCAACGACTCACCGCCTTCACCTGATTCTGATGCCATCGTCCCTGATGATGAGGAGATCGGATTCCCGCAGGTCATTGCAAATCTGATTGTGGTCGAGTTAGCTTGCCTGTCGATCCGCAGCGATGTCAGACTGCAACCCTCTCGCACACGGTTACAACTTAAAGGTCCCACCCGCCACCTACAATGAGGCCATGCGCCGGCCTGATGCAGACAACTGGCTGGCTGCAATGCACAAGGAAATCAACCTCATGTCAGAAATGAACGTTTACGAGTTAGATGCTCCTACCCGACGACCGAACGCGCAATCAGTTGTAGGTGGGTGTTAGAGTTCAAGGAGGATCTCAAAGGCGGACCCGTGTTCAAAGCGAGGCTTGTCGCACAGGGATTCTCCCAGATCCCAGGTGTGGATTTTGGTAAGAATGTTTGCGCCAGTGGCGAAATCAGCGTCTATCCGAGTTCTATCTGCATATGTGGCCGCTAACGACTGGGAGCTTGACTGCTTCGACACGCGGAGAGCCTTCTTGTGGGGGAAGCTACAGGAAGACGTCTACATGTGTCAACCACCCGGCTTCGAACGTTTTGGGCCCAACGGAGAACGCCTCGTCGCTCACCTGCTGTCCTCGCTCTATGGTTTGAAGCAAGCCGCATACGACTGGTACGAGCTCCTGCAGGCCGTGCTCACTAGCCTCGGGTTCATTCGTTGCGATGCTGATTACGCTGTGTTCATTTTTGATCACATCAACGGCGAAGGTACAAGGATCATCTGCATCATCGCCTGGCACGTCGATGACGGCCTGGCGGGTGCGAACAATTGTGCGTTCCTGGACCAAACAAAGTCAAAAATAGCGGAGCGTTTTGGCATCACTGACCTCGGACCAGTCACGAAGTATCTCGGTATTCAGTTTGTCCGCAATCGTCAAACGCGCGAACTGTGGATGCATCAAGAGGACTATATCATCTATCTTCTGCAGGAACATGGGATGTCCAGCTGCAACCCCGTCGCACTACCCATGGATCCTAGCTTTCCCTTCGGGCGACCGACTGACCTGCATCCACACATCGACGACCTGGAATCTGAATATTGTAAGATAGTTGGTGAACTATTATACCTCGCGATGTACACGCGCCCAGACATCGCGCACACCGTCATGCGCCTGGCACAACAGAATGCCTCGCCAGACCCCAGCCACTATGGCGCTGCGAAACACGTCTTACGCTATCTCTCGGGCACCATGGGCATGCGCATCCATTATGGGGGTGCCGGTGTGAATCCTGGCCTTCACGGATTTAGTGACTCCGACTGGGCTTCCTGCCCAGAGGACCGCATCTCCGTTTCGGGCTATGTCTAGGTTCTACAACGGGGGTCCAATATCCCACTCGGCCAAGAAGCAGACCACTCACGCGCTCTCGTCCACGGAAGCGGAGTATATGGCTTTGACAGCGGTGATACAGGACGGGCTTTGGCTCCAATCATTCTTCGGTTGCATCAGTGTTCCCATCACTCTTCCCTTACAGTTATTCGCCGACAATGCTGGGGCCATTGCACTCTCGAAAGAGGCTGCGAATCATATACGCACGAAACACATCGACCTCCGGTATCATTTCATCCACCGGCACATAGAAGAAGGCACTTTCCTGCCCATATGGCTCTCAACGCATAAGAACACCGCGGACATCTTTACCAAAGTCCTACCTCGTCCGATCTTCGTCCAGCACCGTGCGGGACTCGCTTTAGTGTCTCATTGAGGGGGTGTATTGGAGTTCTACGTCGACACTTACTAGATTTGTCTCGGACTCATCATCTTACGTAATTCACCTTATAAGCTCGTGTTTCATGTTCGTTCATACCTCAGCAGTTCTTTCTCGGACGCTGAGGTATGTATCACGTTTCTCTTGCCTGCCGCCTTTGTCTTACCTTACTTCGTGTCTAGACCTCACCTTTTAGGTATTGTTAATGTCATAGCAGTTCTTTCTCGGACGCTGAGACCTCACCTTTTAGTTTCAACTCACAATTTGCGCTATATGTACGCCGTGCTCACTGCTCACTATAGTTTAGTAACCGAAATATCAATAAGATCAAGGTAAATATTTGTGCACTCCACATAATTAGATCAAGTTGCACAATGTTGCGGTTCTTGTATTCCTTATGTAGAAAATTGATGAACTTGTTCCCTGGAAGCTCCGTTGTGGCTAGGTTGGGCTGTGCCTAGAGTGTTACATTATAACTCTTCGCAAGCAGACGAGTATGAGATTTGGAGGTACAATGACTTGTTCTGAGGTGTTGAGGTGGACGCAACGACGGTAGATAGATTCCATCTTTGTTCTGAGGTGTTGACTCGGAGGTGGATGCGACGATGGTAGATAGATTCCATCTTTGGCAGAAGCACTGGTGTTGGCACCAAATGTGAACACATTTTGTAACACGAATATCACTGATTTCTGGCCATGCTGTGGCGATGAATCAGTACTTGATTGATCTGATCAGTCACCGCACCTCTTGTGCAATGTGAAGTATAGCGCTATCCACTTTCGGTCCTTTCCGGGAGGTTCTCAATCCATTAGTGACGCGATCACGTGCAGGTGGCGTCCTTCTTGTCTTACCCTTCTTCTACATACTCGTCGACGACACCCAGGATAGTCACTGCAAACATTTATCAATTAAAACATGGCCGATGTTACAGACGACTGGATTGACGATGACAGCGAGGACGAAGATGCTTTACGACCTCTTGACCAAAGTGTTGAACGGAACCCCGTTTTCTACAGGCCCGGAAAAGATACTACAGCGTTAGGAATTCTTCAAGCTTCATGTCCTAAACCGCATGCTAACTGGACACGGATTTGCAGCGTCAAAAATTTAGACTGCTTTATTCATTACCAGCCAAGCACAGACTTCCCAGCGAGGATGTGAACCTCTCGACACAAGTAATGTGTCTCTGTTTACACCACCTCCAGGGTACCAAGACTCTGAACCACCAAGTTCTTCTACATTACTTCCTCGTGGCGCGGGAATGCCTGTACCGAAGTCTAAACCGCGCCCACGTCCTGTGCCGCAAAAGTCTCGAACTACGAGTACCATATATGACGACTTCATCAAAGACGATTAACTTCGTTCCTCTGGCTTATTCATCGGCTCTGCATCTGCAATCCAAGCCAGTACATTGGCTGCAGACAGCATCCGCCCTCCAACCACACCATCTGGGGTTTCAGATCTCATCGAGGAGGTCGATCCTGTGGTCAGCATTGCCGACAGAGCCAAGACGCGCACTCGAAAGACTCAGGTCAAGAAGCCGACTTACGAGTCTGTCAACCATGATGTGATAGAGTTGACATCCGACTCCAACCTCGACGAACTATCACTCAAGCATCCACGCAAGCGGCAGAAATCCCAAGACAAGCCCGTCAAGTCCAAGCCGAGACCCAGGCCTAAACCGAAGCCTAAAGCTAGGACATCACCTTCACCGAAGGTTCCTGAATAAGGCATCGTCGATACTCAGCCGAGCAACATTGTGGTTATTCTTGCACCGCAAGAGCCAGCGCTTCCGTCTCGACTATATTTTGCAACATCACGCCTCCCGTCTTCTATTCCTGCTTTACCCGATTTGTCTTCTCCGCCCTCTTCTCCACCCAAGATAACTCGTAAACGGAAGAAGGTTTACCCGCTTCAGTCAGAGGTTTCATGGCGAAGATATGGATGTAGATGTCCTCGATGCTTCGTCGTCCTCTATTAAAGCACCTCCTCTGTTCTCTGCACAATTGTCGCCCGTCGTCCCAGAAATCGACAATTTGCACACACTTGAAGATGAAAACGGGGACGCAGACATCATCGTTGCTGCGAACAAGGGCAAGACAAGGGACAAAAAGTTGTCTTCTCGGGCGAAGGGGAAGAAAAAAGGTCGGAAGCAGGCTGACAGAGTCGAACTCGACGATCTTGCACACAAATCCCCCATGGATGAACCAGCTGCAGGTAATAATGGTCTCGAAGACGACGATTTTGTTGAGGAAGCGGAAACGAAAGTTATATCGAAGAAGAAGGCACTATCGAAACCCACCTCCGCTGCAAAATCAAAATCGAAACCTAAGGCAAAAGGCAGAAGGAAAGCGGTTCTCTCGGAAAGTGAAAATGAGGACGACGGCGACGACCCTCGTTCAAGGTCACCTAACCCAAGTAGGCATTTGCCCGAGGACGAAGACTCTCGAGACGACAATCCCAAGGGGTCCGAAATCATTGTAACCCCTGAGATAACCAAGGTACTACACTTCCGCACTCTTTGATATCCTCGCTTACATTCTACCTAAAGATTCCCCCGAAAACCATAGCTCCCCCACCAAAGCAGACTCTGTCTGTCACTCTCCAGTCACGCGCCTTCAGCATTAAACCTAAGTCGACCCCAATGTCAGAGCTCATCCGGCGTGTCAACTCACAACCAACTTCACCGTTCTCAAACGGTCCTTCCTATTCGCTATTGGTGAAGTCTTCGCGCACGATACTTTCGCGGATTGCACCGCTCCACCCCAACCGACGGACTCCTCTACCACCATTACTGAGACCTCCTCCACCGAAGAAGAGCAATAAGCAAATAGAGATGGAAGAGCGTATCGAAGATCTGTCGGAGACTATTGAGGGGTGGTCGTGTATGACTGACGAGGAGAGAAGGGACTTGCGGAGAGCATGAATTGATGCTGAGTTGGGTTGTGAATGATTGCGAGTCGTGCCAGTGTATCCTTATTCCTTATCATACAGTTTACATTTTTATTACGATGTAATGTGCAACTTCATGGAGAGCTTGTATATTAGACTCATCATGATACTATGCAAAGGACTGTAGTAAGTATTCGGGACCCTCCAGCACAGATCTAACATATGCCGTAGCAAAAGAACTCATGCTGACGGGATCTGGAGAAACCGGGTTTCACTCACACTATGTGCCATACAACGGACGTCCGAGTTCAACAACAATATTTAGTAGACTTGAGAGGCGGGCCTGGGCCCACGGTCCGAGCAGTCAGCCTCGTTCAACTTGAAACGGGACATTCATTACCACGCACACTCGGATGAACCTTGTTGTTCAGAGATCAGTACGAATAGCTTTTCACCTTCAAGTGTTACTAGTAATGGAGCCCCAAACAGGATTCCTGTCTCTTGCTGAAGAACTCCAGTCTTACATTCTGAGCTTCCTTCCTTACCGATATATTCTTCGGTGTACATCTGTGGGTCGCCATCATTTATGTTATCGTTGTTTTAGAATCTACTAGATAGACTGCTGTTTTGACGATCGATCCTCTTGCAGGTATGCAGAACCCTTCGCCAGACATACTTGTCCTCCTCCGAACTTCAGTACATCGTTGAAATAGGTGGACAACGGTTGCTTGTTATCTCCAACACGGATCATAGCATACCTATTTCTAAGCGTCTGCAGCTTTTGAGAGACAAAGCTCACGCATGGTTCAAGGTTGACATCCACCCTTTCGAAATGGTCCCCGTAACAAGGGCACCGCTATCTCGAGACAACATTGTTGCTGGTGGGCATTTCTACTCGTGGGACCTACTAGGGGGTACGGCCATGATCATGCCAGTACTTCCAAAGCCCTCACAACAGTCAGTCCGGCGAAACTGGCTCCCAGGAAAGTTGTGTCCGGCGGCTTCATGGCCCTCACGCCAACTTGATGTGCTTATGGACCCAGCACAAAACCTAATCGCTGTCGCTTATGTCGTTGATCGCAAGACAGTCTATATTAACCTTAGGGCCCTGGATGGTGATGGTATTCACCCTCAGGCTGCTGGAGAGAGACTGTTTCTGTCGGACGACTCGGAAAACTGCTTTGAAACGACAATGGCAAAGCTCAAAGGTTTTGGGAGGTATATCGCTTTGTCGCGTCGCTCTGACGATGAAAATCGGACTTCGTTGGACAAGGTGTGGCAGCTGCACATTTGGGACTGGAAATACTCGACGACATCCAGTGTGAGCTTTGGTTTGAAATAGTTGAAAGACTTGACGGTTGATTCTGAATTTAGAGCATCCTCAACGTTGCAGTACCCAACAAATCCGCCTTCCTAGTTGATTTTTGTTTCCTCGGGAACAATCGATTGCTGGTTGTAACCGATAACTTGAATCTCTATTCAATTGAGAACATGTCTCAGACGCCAGAATTGCTGGCGTGTTTCCTGATGCCCAGCCCATTGCTGCTACGGTGCCTTCCTATGATAGATGATATTGGGTATGACTCACAGCTGCATATGCAAGCCCAAGCGACGATGTGCACCTCAGACCCTACACATCGACTCATATGCCTTACTGCGCCTTCTGAACCAGATAATACTCAAGTCTTCATCATTTCCACGAGGATTTTCTTCGACCTCAATAAAATGGCAGCAGCAATGCCAATACCATGGCAACATTGGGGCCCCTCAAATACTCGTATCCTTCGGCACCCATTTTATTTCAAAATTCACGTTAACGGAAACCGAGTCTTGCGGACACTCCCTGTCGGCACGCGCAACTCGCAGTTTATATTACAACTATTTGACTTTAGCCCGCTAGCTGTGACAAACAGGCGGGGTCTAGGACGAGTGGTGAAAGAGCCATCCACGACATACATCAGTGCCGATGAATTTGGCACACGTGGAGAGAGTTTGACAACATCCCTGCCTTACGTCCAAGTCGTATTTTCGAACAGAAAGTTCGATTGTTCACTGTTGAGGGACGTGTGGATCGACAAGGATAGGATTTATATGCTCTCCAGATCACTGAGCTTTACTGACAGACTTGGGGTCATTGACGTCCAGTCTGACTTACAGAGCGGTGTGGTATCCACTAGTTTATGATTAGCTAGGTACTTATGGAGATCATTGGTGGAGGATACCAGTCAGATTTTTAGGCCTTGGTCGAATGAAGATATGGTAGACTATGTTTCAAGCATGTATTGCTATACAGTATAACTCTCGAGGCCAGTCCCACATGCGTCCAGACTACCACTTATAATTAATGTTTCCTTGTCGATGCCAAATTTCACCATCTGGTCGTGGAACTCTTTCCTGGGTCCGACTTTTCACTCAAGCGAATACAGATGGTCGTCGTGCAATAGCAGAATGCTCTGCTCATCAGAACTCAATGAATCGCCGTACGTACTAACTGTCGAGATCTCCACTGATTTGACTAGTGGGCAGGACGTTCTTCCAACAGAGATTGCCAGCCCAAGTTGCCCAACTGCCAGTCCGAGCGCTTGATAATCACTGCGGAAACACGCGTGACACATGTTCAACATGACCAAACATATCAACAGTGTACATAGTTTGGTTGTCTAAACCATTATGCAAAGGACTGTAGTATATCGAAATGAAGCCCCGAACAAGTTTCCTGTCTGTTGCTGAAGAACTTCTGTGTTACATTCTGAGTTTCCTTCCTTACCAAGATATTCTTCGGTGTACATCTGTGGGTCGCCATCATTCATGTTATCGTTCATCAGGAAAACCACTAGTTACTTTTCTCACTTAATTTGTCACTTGTTCTAGAATCTAGATAGATCGCTGTTCTGACGATCCTCTTGCAGGTATGTAGGACCCTTCGCCAGACATACTTGTCCTCCTCCGAACTTCAGTACATCGTTGAAATAAGTGGACAACGGTTGCTCGTTATCTCCAACACGGACAATAGCATACCTATTTCTAAGCGTCTGCAGCTTTTGAGAGACAAAGCTCACGCATGGTTCAAGGTTGACATCCACCCTTTCGGAATTGTCCCCATAACAAGGCTACCGCTATCTCGAGAAAACATTGTTGCTGGTGGGCATTTCTGCTTCTGGAATGCACCAGGAGATACGGCCATGATCTTTCCAGTATTTCCCAAGCCCTCACAACAGTCAATCCAGCGAAACTGGCTCCCAGGGACGTTGTGTTCGGTTCCACACTCACGCAACCTTGATGTGTTCATGGACCCAGCACAAAATCTGATCGCTGTCGCTTATGTCGTTGATCACAAGACAGTCTATATTAACCTTGGAACCATGAATGGTGATGGTGTTCACCCTCAGGCTGCTGGAGAGAGACTGTTTCTGTCGGACGACGCAGAAAACTGCCCTCGAACATTTGCAAAGCTCAAAGGTTTCGGGAGGCATATCGCTTTGTCGCGTCGCTTCAGCGATGAAAATGCGATGAGAAAGGCGTGGCAGCTGCAGATTTGGGACTGGAAATACTCGACAACATCCGGTGTGAGCTTTGGTTAGAAATAGTTGAAAGATTTGACGGTTGATTATAAATTTAGAGCATCCTCAGCGGTGTAGTACCACACCGATCCTACACCCCAATTGATTTTCGTTTCCTCGGGAACAATCGATTGCTGGTTACAACCGATAACCTGAATCTATATTCAATTGAGGACATGTCCCAACCGCCGGAATTACTGGCATGTTTCCTGATGCCCATCCCAATGGAATTACAGTACCTCTCTTCGATAGATGATATTGGGCATAGTTCACAGTCGCACATGCAAGCCCAATCGACGATGTACACCTCAGACCCCACACATCAACTCATATGCCTTTTTGAGCCTGCTGCTCGAGATAATACTCAAGTCTTCATCATTTCCACGAGGATTTTCTTCGACCTCCACGGAATGGCAGCAGCAACGCCAATACCGTGGCAACATTGGGGCCCTTCAAATACTCGTGTTTTCCGGCAACATGATCGTCACTACATTCACATTAACGGGAATAGAGTCTTGCAGGCATTGCCTGACGACACGCAAGAAGGAAATGGGCGGTCCATGTTACATTTGATGGACTTTAGCCCGCTAGCTGTGACAAACAGGCGGGGTCTAGGCCGAATGGTGAAAAAGCCGTCCAAGACATACATCGGTACCGATAAATTTGGAAAGAGCTTGACAACATCCCTACCTTACGTCCATGTCGTGCTTTCGGACAGAAAGCTCGATTCTCTTGATTCAGAGTTGATGGGCATATGGATGGACATGGATAGGATTTATATGCTCAATCCAGATTTGGACCGACCGCTCGGTACCCATGATTTCCCAACATGGGCCAAACTTGAGGTCATTGACGTCTAGCCTCACTTACACAGCGGTGTGGTATCAACTCAAGGCCAGTCCCACATACATCTAGACTACCACTTATAATTAATGTTTCCCTGTCGATGCCAAATTTAACCATCCGGTCGTAAAACTCTTTCCTCGGTTCGACTTTTCACTCAAGTGAATATATACGGTCGTTACGCAAATGCAGAATGCTCTGCACACAATGTTTCTCAAGACTTCAGTTTGATTAGGTCACCAGACGGCGTTCACCCGTTGCCACCTACTCACCGGTACTAACTCCAGTGTACTGATTGTCGAGATCTGGATCCCTGTTTTCGCAACATATAATGATATTGGGCTGGACGTTCTTCCGATGGAGCCCGTAGATTGACACACTTGACGTAAATTCGTAGCGGGGGATTTCCCTGATGCGCAGAATGATCACTAATAATTATGCGTCGTTTGACGCAGTTTTATATTCACAGCTTTCGCTGCACCTTGCGGCAGCCTTGCTAGGACCACGTGTTCGAATGTTCACGAGCCAGGCCGAGGATTCGTGTGTTCATCCTCTCGTCGACATTAGCTTGGGCTAGCAACTTGTGGTACGTGGTCTGTTCTTGGAGTTGTGAAATAATGTACGTACCGGAACCCGTCCAAATTCTTCATCAACATTGATCAAACATCGGCGTTCATAGTCAATCATGGGGTTGCGCAACGGTTCCCTTGTCTGCGATTACTGCTCGAGCAAATTTTTTTCATTCGAGCCATTTCAGATTGCATGGGCTGCAAAGGACTCGTCAGATCCTAAAGCAGGCTTCTCATATATCACTCAAACTTGGCAGGAGATTGACGACGGAGAAAATAAAGGATGTAATTGGTGTGATGTTCTTTGGGGAGAGATTCCTTTTTGGTATCAGCACCGCAAGAAAGAGGAATCGCCTATGCCAGAGGAAACTTTCAAAATAACTGTACGGTTCGAAAGACGAAATTCAGAAGATGAGATTGTCCTGAAAGTCACGATTGAAGACGACTGGACGCCCAGGTATCAAGTGCGGTGCGACCCAGGTACATAGTCTCTTCTTGTTTTCGTGTGATATGACAAACTTTTGTTTTTGCTAGATGACAATGCGGCTGCCTTTGTCCCTGGCAGAAAGCTGGTGTGGCAGGTTGGATCTCCTCGAGCCTTCAAGCTGGCCTCAGACTGCCTCACACAATGCACTCTTCGTCATAATTGTCCCAAACCTCAGGAAACAAGCCTCCCAACCCGTGTAATAGACTGTTCGGATCCAGAACGGCCAAAACTTGTTCTCACCAAAGGCATGCAAGGCTTTTATGCAGCGCTTAGTTACGTCTGGGGTGAACCCCAACCGCACAGCGTCTGCACCACAAAACTCTCTACGTACCTAGAATCAATCGACATACTCCTCCTTCCGAAAACCATCAGAGATGCCATCTTTTGCACCCACAATCTCAACCTCCGTTATCTTTGGGCCGATACCTTGTGCATTTTGCAAGATTCGGACGAAGACAAGCAACGCGAGATTCCGCAGATGTGCGATATATACCGATGTGCATACGTAACAATTATCGCAGCCAGCTCGTGGAAAGTCAGCGAAGGATTTCTCCATAACCGCAAAAAACCAGTTGACACGCTACTGCCATTCTGGTGCCCGGATGGAAAGCTCGGTACCATCTCGGTTGATGAAGATGATAGTCCCATGTCAGCCAAAGAACCAGTGAATCGCCGAGCTTGGTGTTTCCAAGAGCGCCTCCTCTCCCCTAGGACCTTGGTGTACGCTTCGCACACTCTCCAGTATCAGTGTCAGACAGCAATGAGCGAAATCGGAGACATCTGGAATCACCTTCCCTCGAAGGAACAGGGTGAATTGCGTTTGCCAGATACGATGGTCTCGCGCACACCGAGTAGGACGCTTTCGGGCAATGATGTAGAGGTGGTGCTGACAGCCTGGCGGAGTGTTCTACGGGACTACACACAACGCGCCGTTTCGGATCCCTCTGACAGGCTTGTGGCGATCTCAGGGATCGCTCAACTTTTCCAGCGTTGGTGGGGGGATAGCAATCGTTACATCGCTGGGTTATGGGAACGCGATTTGTCCACCGACCTCATGTGGTATAGAGATAGCCCATCCTACGGGAGTCTCGTTACAGGGCAATTTCTTGCACCCTCGTGGTCTTGGGCTGCTACGATTGGATGCATCGCTGCCGGGTGGGACAAAAGAGCCGGAAACATCATATGGGAAGTGCAATCATGCAACGCGATCCCAGTCTCCGACAATCATCCTCTTGGTAAGGTGAAAGGCGGGAGATTAATTGTTAGAGCGATCATGAGAGATGTGACCTGGGATCCTGCAGAGCCCGAGCTATTCGAGCTAAGACGACCTTGTGTTTCGGTAACGAAGACAGGTGATGAGCCTGAAGACCGCGATGAAGCTTGCAGCATCCGAAGCTTCCCAGCTTCAGGAGCAGCTGATATCACCGTTGTTACGGGGCTAGGGGCCAAGGACTCAGATCAAATCAAAATCATCACCCTTCCCGGGCCGAATGCCATACCCACTTCTGCTTCTCCGGTGAAACATGCCAATATTCGAATGTGCATCGGCAAACTCAGAAAAAAGGCATTGAAGGCAGTAAATATAGGTCGTTCCTTCACAACAAACCTGTTCTTGAAGTTGGTTCCATGTCTTGTGCGCCGGAAAAACGCGCATATGACAGGAACCGCACCCGCAAGACAACCTTCCACCTCCCACCAGATCACTAGCAATGACACTAATGAAAATGACATTCAGGTGGAAGCGATGACACCGCAGGACCATTCAACCAACACGGACATGGTTGTGGCATCGACAGAAGTTGTCGAAATAGGATGCGTACATTCCGGAGGAGAGCCTGATCACATGGGTTCAAACAACCATGCAAAAACGCGTCAATCCAATGAAGTTACCGTGCCTTCAAAGGAGCGGGAACGACACATTGGTTACGGGTATTTTGACTACGATACTGGAGAAATTGGAGCTGACAAGGGAAAAGCTGTCGTGGTTGGTTCAAATAAAGGGGAGAACCCTAGCCACTTAACGGGCTTGATTGTCGTTCCTGCAGGAAGCACAGGAGAGTACCGCCGCGTGGGCCTATTCCATGTTCATGGGAAGTCCTACGAAGATGAAGATGAAGAAGCCCCTCACTGTGATATACAATCATGGTTGAATACACCTAATACTGAAGTCATTACGATAGTTTGAACTAAACATGTTCGTCACTTAGCATTATATCAATACTTGGCGTAGTGGTCAGTATCTATGCGTTGTGAATTGATCATTTACCTAGTAGTACATGTCCGGGGCATTTGTCAAACGGAAAGACTAGGCCTACTGATTGTGGGTCCAAAACATGTCAAAGCCTGCCGGCGCAAAGTCAGTCCTAAGATCGGTCAAACACAGCCCACTGAAAATGGGGGAAGAACTGAGCAATATTCATGTGTGAGGAGTAAAAAGAGTTGTGAATTGTGTCATCAATTTTAAGTTCTGCGTCAACCGGGACTGGAATATTGATGATCGAGCCCGGTGCTAAGCCATGGGAAGTACACAGACCTATCATTGGGTTGTTCTGCTCAGAAAATCTTGATCGCTCGCGGAATTGTGCCATTTGCAGTGTCCACTGGTGAAATATGCAACGAAGGAAGACCGGACAGGCCCCTGCTGGGAAATGGACAAGATCACATTGACGGCGACGCTCTAATTGCGCTACAGCACAGAACCCTATACGATGGCCAGTTGGAGAACTTCCAGAGAACGGTGTTGAACAAAAAGAGCAACGAGCGTTGAAGCCTTGAGGCCTAACTTATCGTGGGTCCCAAACGTGTCTTGAAAGTTCACGAAGCACGAAATCAATCGAGGGATCCGTAAAAGCCCACGTGTGAAAATGGAAGAAAGTCTTCAATCAGTGTGTCCAGCTTTGGTCCAGCTGGCATTTCATATTGTGTGGGGGGAAAAAGTTGCGATTCACGTAGGTGTTACATGAATCAATTATGCGTCAGCCGGGAGTCGAACCCGGTGCTAGGCCATGGGAAGACCCAATGTTACCGGTACACCACTAACGCTTGCTGATCATGGTAATACAGGACATATAACCTTGGGGCGAGTGATTTTGACTTTGAAGCATCTCGTCGTGGTCCTACTAGAAAGTGGATGTTATGTGTTATATTCCGGTAAGATTAGATGATATCCAAAAAGGTGTGTTTGTATCAGATAAGGAGCGGTATGGGTGGAGAAAGGTCATGAATAAATTCGACAGCGCCAGATTTGTTGCTCAGCCCAACATGTCCTTTCTCAGATACAGTGTCGGAGCCCGTCATCGACTGCGTATCTACAGATGAATCGTCGGTGTCGTCATCTTCAGTAGAGTCGCTCGGCTCATCAACATCAGTGTCTCGCAGAGGGCTGCTGATGCTGTCTCCAGCCTTTGGCCTCATGATCGGAATAACATACTCCTCATCTTCCTCCGCAATGCTGTCAGTTCGAGTCATGTGACTCGCAACATGTCTGATCTGACGTTCCGTATCTTGCTCAAAGCTGGAGTCGTCGCTGGGAGGTACGCAGACACCTAATCTCCGAGCCTGTTTCCGCTCGCGGATTCTGGCAAGACTTCGGCGTCGCTCCTCCATCCATTGTTCCTCATCCACCTCAAGGACAAGAGAGGCCCGGCCGGCGGGATCAGATGAGATGACAGATTTCGGCTTCTCACTACGGAGATAAACATGCACCCCTGCAGCTGTGAGCACCCGAACGATAGGCGCATGCGAGCTGCGACTTCGCATTCGGTGCGCGTACGATGCTGTCATTCTACGACATGGATAAGTTCGCGTCAGCAGAACATCTGGAATGTAGACTAACCCTGGCCCGAGGACGAACTCGCCACCAAGTTGAGTAGGATCGCCAGCTTTCTCCCAGACAGGCATGCCGACACGCAGAGCATTTGCGATCACCATGGCAATGCCTCCCGCGCGACTATGTCGGACGTAGCTACTGCGCCGTTGCTCTGCTTTTGACTCGACCGCCTTCACAGTCATCCCAAGAATACCATAGATACGAGAAGACGGATCGGTATACACTGCATAGGGCGTCCGGAAGATTTCTTGGGGAAAATGAGCATAGGTCGAACGAAACGAAGCGTGGCATGCTTACGTCGGTAAGACCTGATCATGTTGTACGAGCCATTGCTGATGATGACAAGGTTGATTCCTGACTGCTTGAGTACTTGCGGATCTACAGTATTGGCGATAGAAAACATGTAGTCTTGGCACAGCGGACACCTGGCATGACGCGATGAGCTCAAGCACGTTCAAGATCGACCTGGAATCTCACCAAAAGTGTCTAATAAATATAACGACTGTCTTTTGTTCCCGGAAGAGGTCGCCAAATGGAACCCTAATGCCGTTTTCGGCCACGACAACACAAGACGCTGCATCTAGCAGCTGCCTCTTTGTCGGAAGGGCGTTCTCGTCGAAAACATGTGCGAAGTTGGAAGGAGCGGTGGAAGGACGCGACGACGGTTTCTTGCGTGACGACTGTCCATTCGAATCGACAAGTCGTTGCTGAGGTTGCATCGTCTGAGGCCTAGGTTTCTTCGGAGTGAGAGGTGCTAGCTCAGAAGTGACAGACGCGAGACCGGAAGGAGAATACAAGGAAGAGCTACTAGGTTCAGACATGTAACCAGGCTCAGCACTTGTAGGAGAGTCATAAATAGACGTTCCCGTTGAAGGATAGGACACATCAAGTGATTGCATGTTCGCGGCAACGACTGCCGGAAATAGCATCGACATCGATGATTTACGGCGTGGGCGGAACGTGTTCTCTTCTGGAACGTGTTTCTCTTTGGACGGGCGCTCGGAACTCGCTCCGAGAGCAACGGCCATCGAGGGGAACGAGCGATGATGTTGATGGTGTTTCACGTTCGCGGTCTCACTTGAGAATTCAGCGAGACTGAGACCGCTACGGCTTTTCCTGGGAAGAAAACGCGCAAGCTTCTTGACACGAGAACGCGAAGTGTGCGTCGGCTCCGGTGAATACGTTGATGCCCTACTACTAGGTTCAGACAGGAGGGATAGCACTGGGGCCGAGTCATGGCGAGCTATTGGAATAACGAGGGGAAGCAAGCTCTCGCTGCCATGACCGATATGCTGCATCCGAAAAGGCTGAGAAGAATGCGCAGGGGAGGGAAATCTAGAGCTAGCCAACACATATGCCTGCAGATTTGTATGGCCATAGGGCGACGTCCCGGGTGACACGGGACACGTGTTAGTCCGCGCTTCTTTTCGCGAGACGGCTGATCGCGAGCGCCTGCGCTGGGGAGTCGGCAAAGTACGAATGCTTGGCGAATCACATCGTGAAAATTGCGGCGGCCATCGTCCTGACTCGGTAGTGTCATGGAGGTTTTGCGAAATATCAAAGCTGCTTCTAGTGCTGTATGTCGTAAGCGACCCCGGTTTTTGGTCAGGAGAAGCGACATCGGGACTGGCCGGCGGCGTGGCTTGGTATGGATCAGGAGGGAATGGACCGCCGCCGGTATATGGAAGGGTTGGGAGATGTGACGTTGAGTCACCAGCGAAGGTGAGGAGGCCGAGGGTGCTGGCAGTTCTGGTGCGGAGCACTGAGAGGGGTGCGAATGGGTCATCGGGGTCAGGACAAGGATAACGTGCATCTAGCACAATACTTGGCGCTGGCTTGCGCCGGACCATGGAACGTGGCTGGGGAACGGAACTAGATACATTAGTTGCTACAGGCATAATAGAACAAAGGGAACGATATAGTGTTAAATGATGATCGTCGGCACGAATGAGAGAGAGTGGCCGGATGACACGACTGGCGAGCTCCAGCTGGAGGGGAAAGCAAAGAATGTCAACTCTGTGCGAAGGGCATTTATGTGGCGATCAGCGTGTTTTCGATGAGGGCTTTAAGATCGGTAGAACTATGGGACAATGATCGGAAAACGGGTGTAAACACGTGTGCAGCGCATGTTGAGAGGACTCTGAAGAAGGCCGTCGTCTGCAGCGCGGTAGCCTCACTTCCGTCGCTTGACAATAGTACCTCCTTATCACCCTTGCCTGAATGCTCCGAGTCTTTGCTCTGTCAACAGGGTGAACGAATGTCCATGTAAGTACGGGATTAGTGCTCGTCAGATACGATCGATTCCCAAGATAGATACTTCCAAACCAATGTTTCATGCGATACCTGTCATCAGTTATATACACAGCGAAGAAGCGAGTTTAACCCGCAACAAAGTCGTGGATCAAAACTTTCACCTAGAAGAACGATGATGATAATGGTGACATGATTCACAACCACATGAGCTGCAACGACCCTGATCTTCCCACAGTCGTGTAAGAATGTAGACATGTTGATGACATCTGGCATACGCAGAACATCATGTTATTAGAAAGGTCTGAGATCTATTAATTTATCCCTTGGTCAGGCATGGGTGTCCCTAGATGTGCTGTACTTATCTACTGATGATATCACAACACAGGCTCTTTGTCTTTCGATACTCAGCACGAGCTAGGAAGGTCAGCAGGTGGTCCAGGCTCTGCCATCAGCTGTGTACATCAAATCAGCACGGGATTACCGCCTAAGTAAAGAACGACAGAATACCTTGATGGTCAACGCAGTGGTGTATATCATTGCGGCCATACCAAATACGCCAAGAACAATATCCCCGATCTTCTCTGTGCGCGTTTTGGCAACTGCCTTGTAGTGCAGCATCGCTGGGTATACGAAACACAAAGGAACGCTGTAACCATCGTTAATCCATCGTCACTCTCACGTGAGCATCTTTGTGGCACTTACCAAGCAAAGCTACCGATTAGCGAGACAAATTTGTCCAGGTCCGCGGCACCAACCCAGCTAATGACAGTGGATATCGCGACTAGCCCAAAGCGAAACAAATTCTTGAGCCATTTCACACGAGGATCTCGCTTTCCACTTCGCACGAAGAGCCCATTCTCGAGAATTCGCACGGCAGGGAAGAACTGGAGGGGTATAGAAAGGAGGATGGCGAGCGAGTACAGGAATTGGACCTTGAGATCGAGAGAATGGACGTGAGATTCCATCGACGAAATTACTGCGATAGGCTTACAGATTGTGTGAGCTTGCTTGTTTGGTCGAGGTTGACTAAGACCACAGTGTTCACATCCGAACCGAAAGTCAGGTACGACAATGCACCTCCACCACCGAATAGGACTGAAAGTGCACGGTGAGGCTCGACAGATAACAGAACATTGAAAAAGTGCCCACAAAGCAATGTGATCATGACGCCTGTCAGTACCTTGGGGAACTTGCGTGGCTCACGCATGGCGTCGGTAATGGGAATAACCTAACCCAGGCCATCAACGTCTCTCCGTTCCAGCATGGAACAGGATGACTCACCAAACCAATGCCCTCGAAGGAAAATACGGCAGTTCTATGTCCATTCTTCAGACGCCAGTCAAGCGCTCTAAGAGCGAAACTCACCCGACAAACAAGGGGAAGTCCTTGGGGTTGAACATCTGTACTTCGGCGATACCCCGTTTTCCAATGAATGTCATCTCACTGCTAAATATGTAAACCAGCCCGGCAAGGATAAACGCATCCGCAATGAGGGCAGATGCGCTAAGCTTCGCGAGATTACGGATAAGAGCCAGAGGGACGAAGATTATGAGTTGTACAAGGATGAAGTATTGTACAGGCCAATCCGTCTTGCAACTGGTGACTCCGAGCACGAACGCCTGCACGAAGTCGAATTCAGTGACGACAATTCAGAAAATGCAGTACCCTCACCTTTAGATTCTCGGCTACAAAGATCGTGTATGCAGAGACAAACCCAATCTGGGAAACTACAATGGAAGATAATATCAAATAACGCATCCAAGGACCATATAGAGCACCGCCGATATCTTCATCGCAGAGTGAGACACAATCGACTCAAACAAAGTTGAACTGACCTCCGAAAGATCCTGAGACGACAAATTTGGTCCTGACGAGGAGGAGGAACGAATATAAGGAAACGAGTGCAACCACAGAAATCATGATGAGGGAAAACACGAGACCACCATTGGCGAAGCTGAAGGACCATTCTCAGCGCATGAATGGAAGATACTGGTATGAAAACACATACGCTTTCCCAAGAAATAAGATCCCGGTACCAACAAAGGCTTTCAGAAGCTAAAAACAAGCTAAATAAACTATCCCCCTGATAGAGAATAGACGAGACTTGCCATCAGAACAGCTGATGTGACTGATGCATCTCCATGAGGACTGACAGAAGCGGCTCTCCGTCTAGAGCGCGACATTGAGCGAGGCTTGAGCAAAGGTTGGGTTTCATCGACTGCTATGTGGACCTCGAGCTCAGAAGGAGCAGCACGAATGGTAGCTTCTTCGTCATCAGCCCTGTCTTCCTCTTCTTCCTCGAGATCTTCTCCAGCCTGTTTGCTAATGAGGATTGACGCGCTACGTGAGGATAAAAACTTACGAATTGACCATATATGTACAGAAAATCGATAAAGTTGTTGGTCGGACGTGACTCCTCTCCACCATTCTCATTCGCGCGCATCAAAACATAGTTTCGTCTGAAACCTCCAGGCTCGTGTATGTGCTCGAAGGCAGGATTTGATGGTGTCACAGAGCCTGAGAAAGAAGTGGCACGAGGGCGCACAGCCTGACGGCGCTGATCCGTGTGCCATTTGTAGATGTCATGGCTTGGGCGTAATAGTTGTTAGCTTTCTGACGAAACGCCAAGCCTTGCCGACACTAATGGCCTGACTCACGTAATATCTGCACCCGGAGCTTCGTAGGGTATAGGAAATGCTTCTGATTCCTCTCTGAAAGTTGCTGGAGGCGGAGTAGAGGAACCTACAGATGGAGCATCATCGTTGGGGACGCGACCATCTAATTCTGAACCAGATGTTGAGTTCACGTCTCCCCGGTTCTGTCTCTCCTCTCGCATCAAAAGATGACGCCTAATAACCCTGGCCTTGTGATCATCTGGAGGAGTGCCGAAGTCAAGAGCAGCAGGATCAATACCACTTCCAGGTGTAATGGTGCTTGACGGCCGTGGGCTAATTCCAGTAGGAGGTAAACGATAGGCCCTGCCTAGAAATTCGCTCTGTGGAAGCAGGTTCGAACTTAGAGAGCCGCTGGTGAGGTTTTCTGGTGTAAACCGCGCAGGAATGTTAGGCACTGGAGGTGTTCCAGTATACTGCGCGCGCCAAGCGCGGAGATCTGGTGTGCCAGTTGGTGTTGGTGTTCCCGAATGAAAGGCATTGTCCGGCCGTGGACTGCCAATATTGACTGGCTTTGATGACATAAATTTAGAGAAAGTTAGTGAACGTGCTGGTGGTGGTGGTACCAGTCCAAGGAAGAGTTTGGCTTAAAAGCAGACTGTTACAAAGTCATACGGCCTTGCGCCGGAGCCTTATCGGGAGTAATGGGGCTAAAGTACTTCGTCACCATAAGTGTTAAATTTTATTTCGCTCCTGTCTGAGATTCGGATCGGTTTCAATTTTTAGTTTATTTCTTTAGACTATTCTTCAATAAGTTAAGTTATACGAGCTCTGTCACTTATGCGGTACCCAAT